AGCCCTAAACCATTATTTCCTGGGGAGGCTGTCGGAAACAGAGCCAGATGTATGGTTTGCCTCGCGGAGAAGCATAATGGCGCGGTGTTGTCGTAGGCGCCCCAGCACAGCGTGCGAGTGGAGGTGAGTCGAACAAAGAGTTGGACACACCGGGGATTGAACCCGGGGCCTTCCGCTTGCAAAGCGGACGCGCTACCACTGCGCTATGCGCCCAGCAAATTGGTAACCTAACCTCCACCTTCCACACGAATTTATGACGCCCCACGCGCGATATAGTCACGCATTCACATATAGCACATTTGCATGCACTTGCACTATCCTCTACCACCCGCTTCTTGCATCGAATTGCACGTTTGGCCTTCATCTATTCATCCAAGCGCCAACAGCGAGCTGAATCATCCAAACAAGTCACCAGCCATCGCAACACACCCGAGCCTTTGACGTCGAAACGACACCAACACACAAACGGCAAAACCGGCGTGGTGGTAGGACGAACTCGACAGACCGACGATTGTGCCGCTGGCTTCAGTCGACGGTTGAGGGGTGTCTGCTGTTTGACTACGCCGTTAAGCGAGCTTGTCCCGCAATGAGTCGGGCTACGAGGTAGACTAGCCAGTCTTTACCAGTCATGCGCAGCTGTCGGAAACAGAGCCAGATGTATGGTTTGCCTCGCGGAGAAGCATAATGGCGCGGTGTTGTCGTAGGCGCCCCAGCACAGCGTGCGAGTGGAGGTGAGTCGAACAAAGAGTTGGACACACCGGGGATTGAACCCGGGGCCTTCCGCTTGCACTGCGCTATGCGCCCAGCAAATCGGTAACCTAACCTCCACCTCCCACACGAATTTATGACGCCCCACGCGCGAATATAGTCACGCATTCACATATAGCACATTTGCATGCACTTGCACTATCCTCTACCACCCGCTTCTTGCATCGAATTGCACGTTTGGCCTTCATCTATTCATCCAAGCGCCAACAGCGAGCTGACTCATCCAAACAAGTCACCAGCCATCGCCACACACCCGAGCCTTTGACGTCGAAACGACACCAACACACAAACGGCAAAACCGGCGTGGTGGTAGGACGAACTCGACAGACCGACGATTGTGCCGCTGGCTTCAGTCGACGGTTGAGGGGTGTCTGCTGTTTGACTACGCCGTAAAGCGAGCTTGTCCCGCAAAGAGATCGGGCTACGAGATAGGCTAAGCAGCCCTAACCAGTAGTCCTGCGCAGCTGTCGGAAACAGAGCCAGATGTATGGTTTGCCTCGCGGAGAAGCATAATGGCGCGGTGTTGTCGTAGGCGCCCCAGCACAGCGTGCGAGTGGAGGTGAGTCGAACAAAGAGTTGACACACCGGGGATTGAACCCGGGGCCTTCCGCTTGCAAAGCGGACGCGCTACCACTGCGCTATGCGCCCAGCAAATCGATAACCTAACCTCCACCTTCGACACGAATTTATGACGCCCCCACGCGCGATATAGTCACGCATTCACATACAGCACATTTGCATGCACTTGCACTATCCTCTACCACCCGCTTCTTGCATCGAATTGCACGTTTTGGCCTTCAACTATTCATCCAAGCGCCAACAGCGAGCTGACTCGTCCAAAACAAGTCACCAGCCATCGCCACACCACCCGAGTCCTTTTGACGTCGAGACTACACCAACACACAAACGGCAAAACCGGCGTGGTGGTAGGACGAACTCGACAGATCGACGATTGTGCCGCTGGCTTCAGTCGACGGTTGAGGGGTGTCTGCTGTTTGACTACGCCGTAAAGCGAGCTTGTCCCGCAATGAGTCGGGCTACGAGGTAGGCTAAGCAGCCCTAACCAGTATGCCTGCGCAGCTGTTGGAAACAGAGCCAGATGTATGGTTTGCCTCGCGGAGAAGCATAATGGCGCGGTGTTGTCGTAGGCGCCCCAGCACAGCGTGCAAGTGGAGGTGAGTCGAACAAAGAGTTGGACACACCGGGGATTGAACCCGGGGCCTTCCGCTTGCAAAGCGGACGCGCTACCACTGCGCTATGCGCCCAGCAAATCTATAATCTAACCTCCACCTTTGACACCAATTTATGACGCCCCCACGCGCGATATAGTCACGCATTCACATACAGCACATTTGCATGCACTTGCACTATCCTCTACCACCCGCTTCTTGCATCGAATTGCACGTTTGGCCTTCAACTATTCATCCAAGCGCCAACAGCGAGCTGACTCGTCCAAACAAGTCACCAGCCATCGCCACACACCCGAGTCGTTTGACGTCGAGACTACACCAACACACAAACGGCAAAACCG